ATAGCGACTGGCCCTGGAGGCTCAGAGGCGCATAGTCAAACCGGGGGTGCTCTTATACGGGCAAAGCACGCCTAGGACGCAGAGAAGGCTCGCAGACAGCTTGCTAGGGAGTCCAGAGTCTCGACGTATGTCTGCACGCTTTCCAAATACTCGCGTTACTCTCGCAGATCATGAGACGCTTCGGTAGCACTCGAGGGTCCACAATTCTTGAAAGCTTACAACGATGGCGGATTCCGTATCTCTTTCGTAACACCCGAGGCCTTTCTTGAACCGTCATCCTCTAGCGGCGCCCTACGTCCGCGCACCAAGCCGAAGAAAGCGCCGTCGTTTAGACCGCGGGAGATAGCACCTGCTGAGCCGGGCAACCCGCTCGAGCAGACCCTGGCCTTTGTGTCACCGCAGGTACAGGCAAACGAGGAGAAGAAGCGGCGCCATGAACAGAAGGCCAAAAACGCATTGCAGGCGAGCACGAGCACTATCGCGCGCTTGAGCTCCGACGGGCAACAAGTGGCACGCTCCGATAAAGACAAGGGCAAGCAGCACGCTGTGAACATGTCGCGCTCGAAGAGCGAGACGCGTATTGATTTGACGAGTCAGTCGACGGACGAAGAAGACGGATGCGACGGTGTAACACGCGAGGGATCTGCCATGGACGTCGATTTGTCGCAGCCTGAGCCTGCAAGGACATCTCGCTCGTCGAGGGTGAGAGATATGCCGCTGCCACCCCCTCTAGCGCGCCCTGCATCCGTCGCAGACATCCGAAGCACTGGACACAATCTTTTCTCTCCCTCTGCATCGCATGACAGAGGGCCGCGCACGCGCGACCCATCACTTGTCAAGGCTGTGACGACGATGTCTCGATCTGAGCAGCCCTTCATGCAGCGGGAGACTCCTCCATCGCACCCAGCATCCACGAACAAGACGGCCAGTTCCAGTAGACGGTTCAGCACAAGTTCGCAGTCTCAGCCGCAGGACTGGAGCAAGGGCAAACAGCGCGCCACAGAGCCAACACTCGTGGGCCACGCAAATGTCACATCGAATGAGGATAATGAGGATAGTGAGGATAACATGGCTGTTGACGAGCCCGAAGCTCCCCGAGAACACGTGCTGTCGAAGAGCGACTCAACGAAGATACCACCTATGCAGAAGTGGCCCCACATCCAAGCAATGCCCACAGCAGACAAGCGCAACCTGACAAAGGCCCCCGCCTCTACCTCCTCACGCCCATTTTACCATCCTGTCCGCGACCCTTCGCCCGTCAAGTTCAGCACGGCATCCCTTCGAGGCGTACACTCACCTGCAGAACCTTCCAGACCCTCTCCATCACCCATACAGACCCAGACGACCGCTTCGAGTGCCTCTTACAGACCTGCATGCACGCCCTCCAGCCAGTACGCCTCAGGTCCGCGTGCGTTGGGCATGCTTGGCGTGCGGGGCCGATCTTCACGCCTGCACCAGCCCTTCAAGGCTCCGCGGCCTTCGCAGGCCTCGCAGCAGACCCTGCAACGGGACGTGCCCACGCATATGTTCTCGGAGCCCACGCGGACGCAATCGCGTATCGCAGGAGTGCTCACGACCACCAGTGGTCCATCGAGGACTGCCTCAGCAGAGTCGTCCTGGGGAGAGACACCATTTTCGAACACCGGCTCGAGCATCACAAACAGCGGAAAAAGAGTGAGCAGTGCGCCGGCGAGTGGTCTGTTCGCCTCGGAGCCGCCAGTGTCAGAGGTTGAGGACGATGGAGCGGTGTCAGAAGGATATTCGCGCGAGGAGCACTATTCGTATTCGCATGAGAAGCGCAACGACGAGGATGTTTCCCGACAGGCTCGTCCACCCCAAGCACCCGTCTCACGCCGCTCACTCTCACCGGAGGCAACTCTTGAGGCGGACTCGAGCTATGGGGATATAATGCCCGAGTTTGACCTGCAGACCATAAATATGATCATGCAGCCATACGACTGTGTGAAGGCGTGAGGATATCGGGCGTGGAGACTGCGAGTTGAGGGTAGTACACTACTTTCTTGTCATGCCACGTACTTATTGGATACCCTATTTGTTCTTGGATGTCGCGCGTGAGATGTACCTGGTTTTCCTCAAGAACGTCTACAGTATATTATGGTAGTTGTGATCGATGCCAAGCAATCAGCCAGAGATGGATGAACGTCGAAGCGGACGGGCTGACTTTTCCATCAGTGTGACTAGGGCCCATTGTCGAAGGCGATGAGCATCGAAACTACGATATTCCATTCCCCCCGAGGAGATGCAAAACCACGAATAGATAGCATGGAGAGCGAGCAGCACACATCAATGCAACAAATCAAGAACAAGCGAGCACCAAGCCATAGAAATGTACGAGGACTCGAGAGCTGGAATCTCTAGTTGGACCACAGGTGGTGTAATTTTAGCTGCTCTAGGCAGAACCACTGAAAGCGACTCGATTAGACGATCGGAATACCAGCGTACTCATCGTAGCCGAGGGCGAGGTTGAGGTTCTACGTTTTGTTAGCACAGTCCTTGCATGTAAATGTGAGGTTTATACCTGCAAGCACTGTGTCGCCGCACCCTTGAGAAGGTTGTCCAATCCGCCCTGCAAAACGAAAGGCGTCAGCACTCGCCCGGAGACGCTAGCAGCCACCGTGTACGCACCACAACCACCGCACGGTCGCCCTCGCTGTGCACCTGGAAGCCGCCGACGGTCCAGCCATGCCTACCCTCGACGTCAAGCAGCGTCGGCACCTCGCTGCGGATGCTCACGAGCCGCTCGTCCGCGTACCTAGCCTCGTAGAGCTCGCGCACCTCGCGCGCAGTCACGCGCTCGCCAAGCGGCATCGACAGCACGCTCACGATCCCGCTGAACCACGGCGCGACGCTCGGCGTGAACGCGACCCTGACGCCACCGCCGTTGCCGCCGAGCAGGCGCGAGAGGTGTCGGCCCGCCTCGCGCTCATGGATGTGGTCCGTGAGGGCGTACGGCCGGATGCCGCCCGCGAGGCTCTCGGGCGTGACCTTCGGTGCGGTCGTAGGCCGGCCGTCGGCGGCGGGCGGGCCTGCGACGGTCCCCGCGCCGCTGTAGCCCGAGACGCCGAAGACGGTGGGCAGGGCGTGCGGATGCAGGTGCTGCAGGAGCGGCGCGACGAGGAGTTGTGTCGACGTTGCGTAGCAGCCGGGGTTCGAGATGCGCTTCGCGGCACGGATGGCGTCGCGGCCGTAGAGTTCTTCACACGCGCACGGTCCGAGCAGAAAAAATAGCCAATGCGATTTTAGAGTTCTAGTTTACAGGGACGACGAAGCAGAAGCCTTACCCGGAAGCCCGTACGTCCAGCCGTCCTCGAAGCGGTAGTCTGCGCTCAGGTCAACAATGACGCTGCTCTCGCCCTTGCGCTCCTTGGAGCCGCGGTCGATGGCGTCGACGAACGGCTTGCAGACTCCGTTCGGGAGCGCCGTGACCCACGCGTCGACCTCGCCATCCTTCTCCATGCGCTCGACGTCCTCGACGGAAAGATTGGAGTATGTCATGTCGGCCTTGGTGTACTCAGCCAGCGAGTAGCCAGCGAGCTGCCGTGACGAGACGTGCGTCAGCTCGAGATGGGGGTGGTCCGAGAGCAGCGACGTCAGTGTCTGGCCAGTGAAGCCGCGTGCACCGATCAGCGCGAGTTTTTTCGGTTGAGAGGCGGCAGCAGTAGCGTAGCCCCGAGATGAGCCCGGGACGGGGCGGCGCGCCAGGGTCGAGTACGAGCGAATGCCCGTCAGGTTCGTCGCGCGCTGCGGAGGCGCAGCTGGGCCTACGGGGAGGTAGGAGCGGTCGATGCGGCCCTTCTCCTCGAAGGCTTTGACGATCTTCTCGACTTCGTGAATTTCCTGGACGCCGTACCAGAACAGGCTCTTGCCCGCACGGGTGAAACTACCGTCCGCGCGCTCAAAGTGCCACGCGCGGTTCTCGTCGTCGGCGCGCGCGGTCCAGAAGAGCTTGCGGTGGTCCTTCTTGATCGCGTTGAAGACGTTGTCGACCGTGCCGTTGAGTATGCCGCTGCGCGAGGCGAGCAGCTTCGTCATCACTGGGATCTCGTCCTCCGGCTGAGTCACGATCGCGACGACGTCGAGCGGCTCGTCGCCGTAGATCGTGTATGGCACCTTCTTGAGCTCGTTCAGCACACCCGTCACGCTCTGGTCACCCGCGAGCACATCCGGGTCGCGGTCGTGGATCACCTGGCGGATGCGGTCCGGGCCGACGGAGTCAAGTGATTTGTGCTTGAAGAGCTTGTACCCGCGGCGAATCAGCGTTCCTGCACCCGAGTCTGTGAAGAGCTCGCGCTGGAGCATATCGGCGCTAATGACGGCGACGGACGACGAGCGCGGGAGATGGTCAAGCAGTTCCTTGAACTCGCGGAGCTTGAGCTTGGTACCGTACTTGACCCACGGCTGACGCATGAGCTCGTCATACTCCTCGTCGAGGTTGATGACGTCGAGCTTCTCGCTGGTGACACCGTGGAAGAGACCACCTTTCTCGTTGAGGAAGACAATCTTGAGCGGCTCGAGTTCCTTGGCGAGCTCGCCAGCGGCGATATCGGCATTGACATTGAGAATCTGGCCATCCTCCGATTCGGCCAAGCTGGTCAGGATGGGCAGCGCACCCGCACGGATAGCGGCTTCGAGCGGACGCTTGTCAATCTTGGTGATCTTGCCGACGAGGCCGTACTTGGCCTTATCGAGGAAGTCTGCAGTGAACACGCCAGACGTGATTGGTCGTGCACGCGTGCCGAGCTTTTCAAGAGCGTTGACGAGACGCAAGTTCTCCTCGAGGAAGACGCGCCGTGCGATACCGAGTGTCTTTGCATCCGTGACCCGGATGCCGTCAATGTAGTCCGGGACAATGCCTTCGCTTTCAATAATGCCATTCAATTGTGGGCCGGCACCGTGGAGGACGACAGGGTAGAGGCCGACGCGGTAGAGGAAGCTCAGGCTGTGGGCGAGCTCGTCGACTTGGTCGAGCACTGCGCCGCCAATTTTGATGACAGCGAATTTGGCGGGGTTGGATGCATCCGAGGAAGAAGAAAAGATGCGCAGGTAGCGTTCTACTTCACGCTTGGTGCCGATAGAGTACAGCAGGCGAGTGATGGTGTCCTACCGACGACATTCGGTGGATGACGGGGTGTAATATGGCAGAAGACGCACCCTGTCAGTCTGAGCAGCAGATTGAATACCTCGCTGCAACAACGGTTTGCGCCTGACGGCCTGCACGGCGGCATGACGGGCTCCAGCGACGACGAGTGCGCGCTGGGGCACACGAGCACCGGCTACACGGATAGCGGAGAGCATTATTCACGGTCTGGCAGGTTGCGGGGGGTTGAGAGCAAGGAAATGAGACAAAAAGGCGTGCAGAGGGTATATAAGTGCTCAACAAACCTCGATGTCGCTGTGTGAGGTAGCGGAGATGGGGACGGGAAGAAATGAGAGTGCTCGAAGCCGAAGCGGAGGATGGAAAAACGGGAACAAATGAACTGGACGCCCATCGTGGCCACACTATTGTTTGGCGCCCGCGGCGAAACACTGGACTACCCGCCAGCACTTCCTTGCCTCTCGCAATAACATCGCAAACGTCCTCAAGGTGCTCAAGAACCCTGGAAGTCCCACTAGCAATTCATAGCAGAACATGCACGCACAGTGCCACGATTAGGCCATTGAAAATCTCCCGTTCAGGGTGCCTTTCCAGGGAGCAAACGACTTGCAGTACGCATGCTTGGCCGATCTCGTGTTCACCGGCACCATCCATATTTTCAGCGATAGACGATCTCAAATTTTCGTCTCTTTGCATAGCCATGCGTACCTTAGTCCGTCTTCCGTCGGAATCAGACCCTTGCGAAAAAGCAAGCGCGAAAAGTGTCTCGGTACCTGGCGCGCCAGAAATCCTGAGTTATCCATCCTACGGTGCGTGCCGCAAAACGTTTCACCATCCTCTCAGACTTGCAGGACGCCGCACCGCCAGCGTACACTATTCTAACTGATGGCTGCTCGACCGGGTCATGTAGAGACTTCGGATGCTGGCCTTACGGGATGCAGAGGCCATGCCATACCAGTGAGTCAGCGGCAGGGAGCAACTGCCCATATCTTGTTGGGTATGCGACTCGGGTATTACTCATCAAATTCTACTTTTGTAGATGTCTAATCTGCTGCTGCTGAGTGCTACACTGGCACAAAAAGAGATCAGTACCAGACAAGTGCTAAAAGGCATATGCAGAGCTAACCTTTACGTGGCACGGCTTCTTCGTGCTACAACAGTGCTTGATTGTGGTGGCCATTATGAAGTCAATATTCATACTCTGTAGAAGAGCCGGAAATGGGATTGCTTGGCTGCAACTCTGAAACTCATATACCTTCAACTGTCCATTTAAATAGGCTAGGCACAGTACTGTAGCTTGCGGCCCTGTGCGCCAAAACGCCACAAAGCTCCTGGTATCTCAGCTTTACCATGTAGCACGAAAATAAATTCAACGGCGACCTCTAATAAAACCTATACATCCGTATAAATCCCTCTATCATTCGGCACAGATCTATAAACCACGGATGTGGGGGATTGGGGGGCAGGTCCCCGTCTCGTTACTCGTCACACGTATCGTGATCGCTTCGTGACGGCGTGACGATATTCAGAAGTCACCGCTCTCGTTTTCCTGTTCCTGACCACCATTGTCTTGGCTGCCGCCCGCTGTGCGGTTACAGGACAATGTCGGAGAATATCCTTAGAGACGATGTCGGAGAGTCGCCGCTCCAGAAGAGGCGGCGGCTTGATGCAGAGGGTGAAGTCGAGCAGAGCTTTGGAGAGTCGAGCGGCGGCGGCGAGTCAGAGTGCGTACATCCGTTCCTGCATCTCGAGCCTTGCGCTGATTTGGTAGACCCCCAGGACGAGCTCTTCATCGGCGCAAAGTATGTCTGCGGCAAACGCTTTCTCGATCGTTCCTGCGGGCTCGTCTTCCGTTTCCCAAGTCATACATCCCATCCTCAGTCCTATCACTGCATCAGCGTCTGAGCCTGCCCCGCCAGTCGTGACCACCGACGTTGCTGTTGCACGTTCACCATCTCAGACAGCCGAGGCTGCAGTACCTAGTTTTATCCGTGGAACACTGCAAGATCCAGAGGTACGGAGCATCATTGACAACCTCGAACAACTCCAACGCCAGATGCGCGTGCTGGTAGATGCGGACTCATCGACTATGCTTGTCAGTGACATGGCACGCAGAATGCTGATGACTATCTACGACATGGAGGCTGCCATTCACCGCCAGCACATCGAACGATTGCGCAGGGAACGACCGACTGGTGCCACCGCCGCCGGTCCGCCCTTCTCTGATCTCGACTACCTGTGGAATACTATTCTGCAGAGATCTGAGCATATTGCGGATCTTCCCCCTGTCCTTCCGAACCTTGACTTAGATGCAGAGCGTAGACGTGAGCTCAATCTTCATTGGCGGTCGCATTTACGTCTCATACCGATGATCGCAGGTCTCAACGAGAGCCTCCGCGACATCAATTCTCTGACTGCTCGTTTGTATCCTTCTGTCCGACCACTTTCAACACGTCCTCTGCGCCGCGAGACTACGCCGTCTGCACCATCTCCTACGACACGTCCGACTTGGTACCGCATCGAGCCATCGGAAGATCGCTGGACTCGCGAGCGACGGCGCCGGCAGGAACTGGAGCATGCGCTCGACGAAAGTTTGTCTGTGCTCCCCTCGCTGCGCCATGACTCGCGTGCGAACAACCCAGGCTTTACTCCGTGGGGACAGTCGCTTAGAGATACAACTATGATACCGCGACAGGAACCTCGCTGTACGTGCGTGCCCTTCTATCAAATTTGGACACCATTGATTGTGCTGGGCTAGCTCCCGTTCCAGATGTTTCTGCACCTCCAACGGAGAGTCATATCGAGTCCCACTTGCGTGCGTTACACGCAATTCATCGTGAGCCCGAAGATGACCCGCCGATACCGGAAAGCTTTGTTAGCTGGCACGGCAGCCGGCCAAATGCTTCAGCCAGCAACAGTGGAGAAGCAGACGACTGGACCCGGGTGGATTGGCCAATGGAAGTGGATGAAGACCCGTCTTGGTCCTCGAATCCTCGTTTACGTAATGACCCTCCAGCAGACTCTGCGACCTTTAGGGATCCCTGGATACGTGCTATTGAGCGACGAGAGCGGTCTACCACCCCTGCAGCCCTGTCCCGATCAGCGACTCTCCCGAGCTCGAGCAGCGCCGCACACCCCCGGGACGCACGTTTTTCTCCTGTTGTTTCCGAACGTAATGATATTGTCGTAGCACACCGAGGCGTCACATCACCTGTGAATCCACCACTCCCTACGTCGCGGTCCTCTAGCACTCGTCCGATAGTCGAAGAGGAAACATCGCCTATTTCCACACGCAGCGATGACCTGGCCCGCCGCCGCGAAGCGTTGGCCAGGCGCCGCGCATGGCATCTGCGGCAGGTCGAGAGAGCCACTAGCCAGTCGAGCAATGGGTCGCGCTCTGGAATCGACCCCTCGCGGAGGAGCATCTTTGGGGATACTCCGACGAATCTGCCCGGCATCCAGGAGCTCTTTGGGGCGTCGTCTCCGTCTTCTGCGGGACCTTCGCCTGGCGTTGTGTCTCCCTGGGAGCGCTCCGGCTTCTACAGCCCACCCATCATCTCGCCTCGCATAAGCAGCACACGTCCAGACCCGTCCAGTGCTGCGGAGGAAGAAATGCAGGACATTGCCGAGACGATTCGCCTGCTCGAAGACGACCGCCCCGCAAGCCAAGCAGCACGGCCGGCACAAGCGGCGCACACTCCCAGCTGGCAACCTTCTGACTTGCGCGAGCGTCAGGCTTTCATACGCGAACAGAGCCGCAATTTTGGTCGATCGGGTTCACAGAGGCGCGATCGCGCAAACGATGGGTACGGAACGATCGCAGAGAACATACGCTCTACTCGTACCACGGACGATCGTGAGGCGACGAGGTCCTTCGCCGCTATGCGCGAGCGGTTCGCGCGCGAGCAGGAGCGGCGGCGTGCGTCTGGTCGTACTCCGTTGCCGACCCAGACTATCGCTCGGTTGGAGGAGCAGTTCGCGCATGTACGGCACGCTGATTTTGAGGTACGTATGAGCTCCGCCGTCCTGATGTTTATGTGGTGACTGACGGTATCGTATGGCAACAGCAGGAGGCCTTGAGGACGATTTTTGGTGCTCTTGGGCATGGACAGGCGCATGTGCCGCGTGGTACACCGCAGAACATCATCGATGGCTTGCCGAGTGGGACTTATGGCGATTGGGCAAGGCCTGGCGAATCGGAAGAACACTGCCCGATCTGCTTCGACGACGTAAGTTGCCGTTCTCTGACTTCGCAACGACACGACGCTTACATACGGTGATACAGTGGACACAGGACGATTCCTGCCTGCGCATGCCGAACTGCACGCACTGGTTCCACAAGCCATGCCTGGTGCAATGGCTCAAGACGGCACGCACCTGCCCAACCTGCCGCGCACCCGTTGAGGCCGGGCGCGAGCGCGAGCGCAACATATTCGGCCGTCCCCGCCTGCGCATCTCACCCGGTGGAACCGCGCCGTTGGCCGTACGCGTCCGGAATGACAGCGCGGCGACCAACACGAGCCAGAGGCGCGAAGGTCCTTCTCGACCTCTGCCTCCGTTCCGCACCGTCGACATCAGCGATGGCGAGGAAGACACTGTGCTCGTAGAGCGCCGGCGGCGCTCCCCGTGGCGGCCCACTTTCGGAGCCCCCGCTCAACCTACGCCGTGGAGCAACCCTGGCGCCGCGGCCAGTCGCGGCGCGAGCGAGTCCTGGCACGACTCTGGAAACACTGCTGGCCGCAGTGCCCCGGCTCCCAACAATAACACTTCGGGCACTGCGTGGTCGACGAGTGCGGCTGAGCCTGGGTGGCACGTTCATGACGCGTGGGGCGCTACTGCGGACGTGCGCGATAATGGCGCGGCTGGGCCTGGCGGAGGCGCGTCTGGAGGCCGGTCTGGGGGCACTGGTGGCGTTGCGCGGAACGAGGGAGAAGGGGACGGGAATGCGCAGACGAGCAGAGCCCGGAGCCCGTGGTACACCCAGAATCACTGGGGAAGTCTGGACGGGTCATGGCCCCGTGGGCCGTGGTAAGGAATTGCTGGCGATTCAAGACGTACGTAGGATGCCTCGCTAGTGCTATTTATTCAGGGACAGTGTATTACAATTGCGATGTACTTTTATCTAGTGTACTGTAAATTAAATGATGGATTCTTGGAAAGTGGACGTGTAAGCTCTTTGCTCGCAGTCTTGACGCGTTGGGTGAGCGGGAGGGTTGCATCACAGACCTACTCTCGTTTTTCTCGGCCCATGAAGGAGGCATCACAACTATGCAGTCAACTCGCGATCAACTTCTCGCTCTCGTCCACCTTGACACCGGGGTCGAATAACAGATATGCTACGGCTGTGCCATGGTCCAGGCCTGCAGAGAGCGCATCGCTCGACTGCCGCGCGTACTTCGCTGGGACAGTGGAAATCATACGTGCTCCAGTCTCTTTAGAGCCGCGCCCAGATCATATATAACGGGCCCAGCAGCCTGCGTGTGTTTCCCACCACCACAAGAACAGACGGCACAATGACGACCCTGAACATCCAAGGCAAGATCCTCACCCCGGCGTCAGGCGAGGCCTACACTACCGCGCTCACGCGCCTCTCGGAGCTGTCGCAGCTGCCCGCAGGCTACATCGTGCAGCCATCAAACTATGCCGACGTCGCTGCCGCAGTCAAGTTCGCGCAGGCGCAGAGCCCGCCGCTTGAGATCGCCATCAAGGGCGGCGGCGCCCACGGCGCGACGTGGGCAAGCTCCTCGGGTGGGCTCGTGGTCGACCTCGGTGCCACGCTGCGGAACGTCACGGTGGCGTCCGACAAGCAGAGCGTTGTCGTGCAGGGCGGCGCACTCTGGGGCGACGTGTACGAGGTGACCGCGAAGGAGAGCGTTGATGTCGTCGGCGGGCCACTCTGGTTCATCGGCGTCGGCGGGTTCACGACCGGCGGTGGGTACAGTCCGCTCGGCGGCGAGCGGGGGCTCGCGATAGACAACTTGCTCTCCGCGACAGTCGTCCTCGCAGACGGGCGCATCGTGAAGACGAGCAAGGACGAGGAGCCGGACCTGTTCTGGGCGATTCGCGGTGCGTGTACTTCCTGTTTTTGTGACAGGGCGTAGACTGAGAAGAACGTCAGGCGGAGGCGGACAATTTGGTATCGTTGTGGAGTTTGTCTTCAAGGCCTATCCTCCTCAAGGTCCTTATGGCGTTGGAGTGCTTGCATACCCGGGTACTGAGATTGAGAAGGTGATAAAGGCAGTCAAAGATTGGAAAACGACGCAGACACCTGCCGAGACACTAGGGATTAACTTCTCTCGGGCTCCCCCTCACTTCCAGGTACGCCAGGCCTTCTCTATCATGTCTATGACGCATTTGACGTTAACGTGTTAACACTCGTTGCAGCCATCCGTGGCGTTACTGCCGACGATCTTGCACGACACCAATGGCGAGCGCTCCGCCAAATTACTTGCACCCTTCCACGATCTTAAGCCGGTATTCGAGAAGACTGGCACAGTGCCCGACCTGAACATGGTTTCACACGGTGCCGACGGGTCCCTCAAGAACGCGCCGCGGCGAGTCGTCATCCGTGGCGCCATGTTTAGCGACTTTTACCCTGAGCTGGTGCTCGCCATTTGGCAGAAATGGGTCGCGTTCACCGAGACCAGCGAGGACGTCCGAGCGTCCTCCGTCTTCTTTGACCTTATGAGCTCGAAGAAGCTCGTCGAGGTCGGAGCGGCAGATACTGCACTGGCGCTGCGCGTGCCACACAACTGGGTGGCCGTCCAGGGAAAGTCGACGACTGACGCCGGAGTTGCAGCCGCAGACGAGTGGGCAAAGTCTCTCTCCGGCTTCATTCGGCAGAAGAATGCAGAGCTGTCGGGCAAGGACCTTGGATGGTTCATAAACATGTGCCAGGGTGAGGAGAAGCCTGAGGACATCTTTGGTGATAACCTGCCTAGGCTGCGGAAACTGAAAGCGAAGTATGATCCCCAGAATGTCTGGAGCAAGGGAGTGGCCCTCGCGCCTCTGCACGAATGATTTATAGACACCTTAGACACAAAGTGTACATCAGCTCGGACTAATAGGTGACTGACGGCGATTACTACGAATATTCTTCTTTACGCACGTAATGCACGGAGGGCCTATATACCGTTGAAGAATTCAATGAGACCACAGGCATACTAGACCTGCTTTTCAATGCGGCCCTATTACAATGTGCTCACAGACACACCTGTGAACGAACCTCAGCGAAGTTGCCGATGAATCTAGCTTACGGCCTTAAATTTGAGAAGGTCATCAATGTGTCATCAGATTATGAAAACATACCGACCCAGCTCTCTTGTGTATGACTCGGAGCGTCTCTCCGCACAAAAAAAGAGCACGCTTATCTCTATTTCTCTGTGAATTTTTAGTGTCTTCAAAGCCTTGAGATGTGCACTGCTCCAAGGAGCGATGAAGCCTCAAGCAGCGGTGGTGTTTCAAGAAGTCGTGGTTGTTTCAGGGGGTGGTTGATGACTGGGACCCTGAGATGGATAGGCCTTGAAGCTTGAAGACAAACTCCACAACAACACCAAACTTCCCGCTCCCCCCTAGCACACTCCTCAGCCCACTATCCGTCGCAAAAACAAGAGTGACACGTACCGCGGATGGCCCAGAACAAGTCCGGCTCCTCGTCCTTGCTCGTCTTCACGATGCGCCCGTCTGCGAGGACGACTGTCGCGGAGAGCAAATTGTCGATCGCGAGCCCCAGCTCGCCACCGAGCGGGCCGTACCCACCGCCGGTCGTAACCCGCCGACGCCGACGAACCACAGCGACCCGCCGGCAACGTCGAGGCCCTCTTTCGCGGTCACCTCGTATACATCGCCCCAGAGCGCGCCGCCCTGCACGACGATGCTCTGCCGGTCGGGCGCCACCGCGACGTGCCGCAGCGTGCCGAGATCAATCACGACCCCGCCCGAGGAGCTTGCCCACGTCGCGCTGTGCGCGCCGCCACCCTTGACGGCGATCTCGAAGGGCGGGCTCTGTGCCTGCGCGAACTTGACTGCGGCAGCGACGTCGGCATAGTTTGATGGCTGCACGATGTAGCCTGCGGGCAGCTGCGACAGTTCTGAGAGGCGCGTGAGCGCGGTGGTGTAGGCCTCGCCTGACGCTGGGGTGAGGACCTTGCCTTGGATATTCAGATTCGCCATTGTTGGAGTATCCGGAGACCCACATAAGCCGCAGGGCCCACTATATATTCCCTGAGCGCGGACTTGGTCTCGAGCTATTCCAGCGTGCCGACCACCCTCCCACCCTCGGTACGTGTCCCACCAACTACCGAGTAGACTGGTCGCGAGTCTAGTGCGAACTAGAGCGCGCATTGTTTCCACTGCCTAAGCGAAATATTACGGCGCTGGAGTGCTTGTATACCCGGGCACTGAGATTGAGAAGGTGATAAAGGCAGTCAAAGATTGGAAAACGACGCAGACGCCAGCCGAGAAGCTGACGATTAACTTCACCCGAGCTGCCCCCCACTTCAAGGTACGTCACGCCCTGTCCACCCATCGTTAACGTGCCAACGTTTGTTGCAGCCGTCAGTGACAATCTTGCCGACGATCTCACATGACACCAACGGCGAGCGGTCCTCCAAATTGCTTGCGCCTTCCGTTCAGGCGACCTTAAGCCGGTGTTCGAGAAGATCGGCACTGTGTCCGACCTCAACACAGCCTCACATGGCGCCGATGCGTCCTTCAAGAACGCGCCGCGACGGCTCATCATTCGCGGTGCCTTCTACAGCGACTTTTACCCTGAGCTGGTGCTCGCCATCTGGCAAAACTGGGTCGCATTCACCGAGACCAGCGAAGATGTCCGCAAATCTTCCGTCTTATTTGACTTGATGAGCCCGAAGAAGCTTGTCGAGGTCGGGGCGGCGGACACTGCGCTGGCGTTGCGCGTACCGCACTACTGGATGGCCGTCCAGGGACGATCCACGACCGATGCCGGCGTCGCGGCCGCAAGTGACTGGACAAAGTCACTCTCCGAGTTTATTCGACAGAAGAATGCAGAGCTGTCGGGCAAGGACCTTGGATGGTTCATCAACATGTGCCAGGGTGAGGAGAAGCCAGAGGACGTCTTTGGTGATAACTTGCCTAGGCTGCGGAAACTGAAAGCGAAGTATGATCCCCAGAATGTCTGGAGCAGGGGAGTGGCCATCGCGCCTCTGCACGAATGATTCCTAGGTTTAGACACAAATTGTACGTCAGCTCAAGCCAACAGGTGATCAGCAGTGTTGACCACAAAATCTGAATATGTATACTTGTATGTGGACACGTCGTTTAGGCGGCGTGGTGGATGTTGAAGCACTCGAAGCGATAGATATTCGTGTGCATTGTGCGCTTTATCGGTCCAAAAACTTACTAACAAACTGCAATCCCGTCGGAGATAATGGGTCAGTGAATCTGGGTTTAAGCATTGCCAACGCATGCCAGCTTGCGTTTCAAAGAGAAAAGGTCCCTTGTTATGCGTACATCAAGTATACAAGAATGAGAAGTCAACACTCTGTTCTAGTTTTGTTCTGCGGATAGACGGGCGTGGGTGAACGTCTTGAGCGGGAGCGAGAGTGCTTACGTAAGCGTTCTGCCTGTACAGTTGAGAATAATAAGGTTTCAGCCACCCGGAGCAGATGCCGATTTGGAACTGCCATCAGTAGTAACAGGTAGAGGGCCAAGCTCGTCAAGACTGACCCCACGAATCCCGCCATGGCAAGCATCCTCTGGTTGTCGTGCGCAATGTTTAGCTCACGTATGAAGACTTTCTAGCCCAAGGAAGTCCGCGACATCAAGCAGTTCATTGAGATCGCTACCCGCAAGGATGCGACTGGTGCGTAGCAGGCCCTTTGCATACTCGGAAAAGTGAGATATTAACAGTCAATGTGATGCTTGTCTGGACGCTCTCGTCATGTCGATGCTTGCTCTACAGAGGCGCGGATAAAGAAGATTGCCCCTCGGGTCGTGGGTGCGAAGACCAAGACCAAGTTCAAAATCAGGTGTTCGCGCTACCTCTACACCCTCTCCCTCGACGACCCTGAAAAGGCTGAGAAGCTTAGGCAGAGCTTGCCGCCAGGTACGTGTGTCCCTATTTGGAACTTCTACATGAAGTCAATCGGAATGTTGCAGGCCTCCGGGTAACCGACGTCGAGAAGGTCACCCCCAAGAAGAAATAAAACGCCTCTCCGACCTCCGTTCTTGCGGTTGCTGTGCACTAACCAAGGGCTGGTTGTGTACCCCTCTATAAGGGCTATGAAATCAGGCGAGTGCGGACAGCGTTGGGGCTTTTACCGGTCGGCGCAACGATGGACAACGTGGGCAGGGCTGGCGAGATGATTCCTCGTGAGAGGATATACGGATTATTGCTGTGTGCTTTTATTTCCTTTAAGTCACTTATTATGCGTGCATATCCCCAGCCCCTTACCTATTCATGCGAATGCCTTGAGACCGTTCGGGTGCACCTACTCAGGTATGTCGCCCGAGAAGTATTAGAGGGCTCTTCCCGCATTCACGACGTGGCCATCTCAAAACGGTTACGATAAGCCTCGACTTCGTGTTGCGCCTGTGTTGAACAAACATGAGCCCATGGAACCACGAGCAAGCCTCACATATACACGTGATTAACATACACTTAGGTGCTTGTCAGCGTGAGTCCGCGCATTCTTGGTGTGGGTATCAATGGCAATATATCCATGGGTCATGCTTAGCTCTTTCCAAGCGGTGGCTCCGCTTATTCCATGGTCGTAACGTGAGACTCGCAAGAATACGACTGTGAACAAGAGATAGCTGCCGCCATTTACCTCTTCCCATGCATGGACAATATTTATCATTACGCCACGAAGCCAGGGACAACATGGCTGGATCTGATCACAATGCTCGGTCATTTTAGTGTGGGTTCACATGAACCAAGGATAGGTATGAGGTAGCAAGCTACCAAGATTACTTCGCGGCAGCAATATGAAAGTAGAAGGCTCTGAAGACGATGACTCGGACGCAGTACGTATACCAAGTATTCAGTCACCACCTCCTTAACTCCACACATAAATGTGAGTCTTGGTAGGCGTACAGTACGACCTTCCCGTCTGGTTGGTGACAGGTGTGCAGCTCAAATCGTCCGAGTTCACACGATACTTTAACTTGCTCCGAATTGATGTATACTAAGCTGCCCGGCCTGGGTTTCTCGAGTCCAGAGAAAAGTCTGATATATAATCCCGGGCCCCTCAGTCAATTTTTCTAGTCAAAAAAGGCCAACGGCGGATCTATGATGAGTTCAAAAACGATCTACTCCCAAACAACCAACTGACACGCCTCCCGATTTAGAAACGACAGATGTGAGAATATTACAGCGCGAGTGGGAAGCCCCGGCCAGGGGCAGCATTGCATAGTGATATGCTTTCCTCCACAGCCTTGTCAAGCGTCGTGGGAGGCTGGTCCGCGCGATAACGCTATTTCAGTGGGAGGCGTGTATCTATTATCGTTCCTATCATGAATGAAATGACCAGATTATACAACTGTTTCGCAGGCGTATACGCGTGGCGCGTAACTTGAGTGCCTTCTGGCGCCCGACAACATAATGGTGTGGGCACCCCATCTTCGCAGCTGACAGTACACAGATGCAATAGATTTGCTGTATTGTAAAAATAAAAAAACTCAAGCCAGGCCATCACGCTTCTAGCATTCATATTCGCCGCATTTTATTGCGACGTAACCGGCTGCGTGCCTCATCCCTGCGACAACCCCGTGTCGCCCTCACCGGAGGACTATTGCAAACGGCTATGTCTATTTACGAACCAACTGGCTCGGATGGTGATTGTGATACTCATGACGCCAAGAAACGCGCTCAAAAGCTCTCGAACACGCTGACGAAGGATATCCTCAGCCTTCCCGAGTACACCATCTTCCTTGCAGGCTTGATGCTCATCTCGGCCTCAGGAGACCATCAAGGCCGTACGTGAACACAACTTGACATAGGTGATGACTCAGTTATCTGCACCGCAATCATGGGAAATTCAGTCTCCTTCAGCTCAGGCACGCGTCACTTCTGTCAGATGAAACTTTCTCGCACCAGCTATCGAAACGACGGGCATGCTGCGCGGGCAACGGCGCGTTCCACTCGACTGGTTAGATGAGCCAATTCTGGCCATCTCGAAGAACGTTCGCGCCGCGATGCTTGCTTCATCGCCTATTCCATCCGATCTAGAACCTCACGTTTCTGGTGGTGGCAACACGCCCAAGTTGATACAATGCGATATGCTCCTTTATGAACAAAGCGGAAAGTCTGTGTGCACCATTAAAGTGCCAGGACCGAGCTGGTTTTGGGGTTCAGATGCACCTTGTATGTGGCGGGTTCCATCAGCGGACCTGTGCCCGTTACCGACTCTGGCAATAAGCAGTACTGTAGGCTGTGGCCTCGCAGCGGCCCGCCGCTGACGATGCACGAGTGATCCGAGTCGTAAGCGGGCCGGTAACCTGTGCACGGGGTCCGACAAGATTAACGCTCCGTATAAGCGCCTGGTTTGTGTCCGGAACCTCACCATAACCATCTGCCGAGGATGCTGAACCGTGGTGTGTCGCGAGATCAAGTTTTATTTTGTATTTTCTGATGCGTTTCTCTGACAGATCCGAACCATGACCGAGCTTCAGTCTACTAGACCGGGTGTTGTTACATCGCGCATCATGGTCGATGTAGGCTGAGCCCCGTCTCCAGGCATGCCAGTGACATGTCGATTTGGCACCAAATACGAATGTAGAAAGCACTTCATGTGCAATGCGAGGGTTATGTGGGCCATATATGACCGGCATCTCTTCGACACGATGCTCAAACCCTTTGCGTGGCAGTCTCTTTACGGTCAACACTATGTCGGACATTCCTCGCACACTCCAAGGACTACTGGCCTCGAGAGCCCAGGAAAACACTACCGGAATGTACTTCCTTGACCTCCAGGGAAATGTTGCGGAGACAATCACCTATGCCAATCTGTACAGCGACGCTGTTTGTGGCTCACAACGCTTGCTTGCGTCCGGATTGAAGCCCGGCAGCGACATCGTTATCGCGATTTTCGCCGACCACAAGCAACACATCCGGCTCTTCTGGTCCTGTTGTTTTGGTAAGCCTTCATTCTCGGGCATCATGAATCGTGCTTATTGCCGTGAGCAGCTGGTATCCCTATATGCCCCATTCCACCTTTTCATCCGGATCCGTCCCGCAGGGCTGTATTCTTCGCTCACCTGCAAAGCCTTTTCTGCGGCCCAGTAGTGATCACAGATGACGCGACAGTGATAGACGGCGTCAAGGCCATCGCACCGGAGCTACGGGTCATGTCCTGGGCGACTCTGTCGACGCGCAACACCGATAGTGCTGTATTTGCACCCCCGTTCCATTCCAAGCCGAGCTCTCCGGACGATATCGTCTGTCTCATGCTAACGTCTGGGTCTACCGGGAACTCGAAGGCTGTTGCTCATTGCCATTCCAGCCTCCTGTCAGCTGTACGCGGGAAAGTCAAATGCCACGGGACGACGACGAGCTCGCGATTCCTGAACTGGATTGTGTTTGACCATGTTGCGTGCGTCACAGAAGTGCATCTGCACGCTTTAGCTGCCAACGCGAGGTAAATCTATTTCGTTGTCCGGCCCAGCTCGCTGAACTCAAGAGCGTCCCCTTAGGCAGTACCATGTTATCCCGTCGGCAGTTATTCAACGCCCCCGCGGCCTGCTCGAGTGGTGCAGCCGCTATCAAATTACATACACCTTCAGTCCAAACTTCCTCATAGCGCAACTCTGTCGTGACGTCGCGGTGTCACCGTATGAACTCGGGGCTCTGGACCTGTCCGCGCTTGTCGCGTTCATTTCTGGAGGAGAAGCCGTGCCGATCAAGACGGCCGTCGCGTTTGCCGACCTCCTTGAACTCTTTGGTGCTCCTCGCAACGCTTTACGGGTCGGATTTGGCATGAGCGAGACCGCCGTAAGTTGCTCCTCGTGCTTTCAGCCAACGTTAGCTTACCGTGTCCCAAATTGGAAGGCTGGTTGTGTCTACAATACTCGTCCTGTTGGACGCGACGAGCACCCATCAACAGAGAAGTACCTGTCATTGGGTCAGTGTTGCCCAGGTACGACGCTGCGCGTTGTCTCGCCGTACACTGGCGATGTATGCGGCCCACTCGAGTCCGGGAAGCTCCAGCTGAAGGGTCCGACTGTCTTCCGCGAGTACTACAACAACGTCGAGGCGACGGCGGAGTCGTTCACGGCTGATGGCTGGTTCATCACCGGGGACAGCGCGATGGTGGACAATAGCGGAGATCTGTACCTCGTCGGTCGGGACAAGGACCAGGTCAACATCAATGGTGTCAAACACCCGAGCGTCGACATCGAGCACTTTGTCGAGGACAGCGATATCGAGGGTGTCATGTGCTCGTTTGTGTTCGTCTGCCCGATGCGCCTGGCCGACAGCGATACGGACACGTACTCAGTGTTCTACCAGCACAGCATCCGGGTCGAGGACGAGCTCAGCGAGGGGGACGTCGCCGTGCTGAGGGAAACGAACCACGCGATCCGGAACTGCTGCATTGTCATATGCTCGCAAGCACCTCATGTCGTCCTTCCCCTTCCTCGGAGGTCATTCTCGAAGACCGCTCTCGGGAAGGTATCGCGCTCGTCTTTGATGGTCGCCTATCTTGGCGGAGAGCACAACGCGCTGGTACAGCGCCTGTTGTCCCCCTCTCTCTCCAACGGGTCGGCAGCCAAGGATGAGCCATCCAACGCGGTTGAAGAGATCGTCTTTGAAGCCGTTGCGGACCTGACACACGCCCAGCGTTCCGAATTCACTCGTGGCTGCAGCCTATTTGCTCTGGGTGTGACGTCGATGCACCTGGTCCAGCTCAAGCACCGTCTTCAACGCGATTTGCAGATAAGAGATATCCCGGTTATCGCGATGCTGCGCCACCCACAACTCGGCCAACTATGCGACTACCTTCGGAAGGCGCAGGAGAGCGTTAGTCCGCAGCAGGAGCCCCGGTGTTATCACCCGCTAGTCCCCTTACGTCCCCGGGGATCCATGCCGCCCATATTCCTTGTCCATCCCGGCGTAGGCGAAGTCCTCGTGTTTGTTAATCTGGTTCGTGCGCTGCACAGGGCTCATCCCCTCTACGCCCTCCGCGCCCGCGGTTTCGACCCGAATGAAGACGTCTTCGAGTCGTTCGAAGAGATGGTGGCGGAGTACGTTGCTGCGGTCGAGACACATCAGCCGGCAGGTCCGTACTATCTGGGCGGGTACAGCTTCGGGGGAGCGGTTGCGTTCGAGATGGCTAAAGTGCTAGAGGCCAAGGGGAAGCGAGTCGCATGGGTCGGCATTCTCAATCTGCCGCCATTCATCAAGTCTCGCATGGACGAACTGACTTGGACGGAGGTGCTGCTGAATCTCTTCATGTTCATCTCCCTTGTTACCCCTTCCGACTTGGAAGCGACTAGATCACAGCTGCACGCGGCCTTTCCTGGACTTCCCGATTCGACCTCGGAACCGGCGAACGGCGAACAGGTCATAGACTGGCTACTTTCACGATCAGACCAGGAGCGACTGAGCGAGCTCCAGCTGGGATCCGACGAGCTGCGGCGCTGGGTCCGTGTCGCCTGCTCGTTGACTTGGCTTGGGCGTACGTATCAGCCATCGCCACTGGTACGAGACGCGCTGGTCACCGTGTTCTGTGCCACCCCGCTGGCGTCTATGGGCACGCGCGAGCAATACAAATCGGAGAGGCTCTCGCAGTGGCAGAGGTTCTGCACCAATCTCGAGCTGGTGGACGTCGACGGCGAGCATTACACCATGTTGTCGGACACGAATATAGACTCCTTCGCGAGGACTTTCAGCTCCGCCCTTGACCGTGCGTCCGCGCGCAGCGTGACTGGTGGCCTGCAGAAGCTGGACTTCGAGAGCGTTCCCATCGTCGACTTCTCTCTAGCACGGACGGACTCTCCGAGATATTACGACCAGTTGCGATTTGCATTAGAAGACGTCGGATTCTGTGTGTTCGTGAACATTCCTGGTTTCGAAGGTGCATTCCAGCACGAGCTGTTTGGACTCGCGGAACGTCTATTCAACAGGCCGCAGCAATGGAAGGACGCGTTAGGGACCAGCAACTCCTGTGCTCTTCGTGGATACTTCCGTGCTGACGATATTCCGGGGCCGCACAAGGTCTGTGTACTGTCCGTCGTTGTTTTCCGGTTACTGAAGCAACACATGGACGAACAGGCGTACGCTGAAGCGTATCGTTTCGGGCTGGAATTACCAGCGCCTGAAGGGGATGATATTCCGTTCTGGCTCAAGCTACATGAAGGTATATGCGCGTTTACATCGTTATAGAATGACACCTACGGCTGTTTACACCGCCTTTTTCCAGGACCGAATCAGTGGCCGCCAGAGGAGGACCTGCCGAAGTTTCGAGAACTAATGCAGCTGCTTTTCAGTCGCTACCATGCGCTAAATCTCTCACTCAATAGCCACATCTGCCACCTACTCGACATCCCACCGACCATGCTCGGCGATTACTTCCCACAGAAGACCGAGTTCAATTGTGCGATTTGGCACTACCTCCCGGTTACTCCAGAGATTCGTGCGAGCGCGCAGAACGGGTTCGCGCAAGGGATGCATGAGCATCGCGACCCGTCCACTTTCTTGACATGTCTCATTCAGTCGCGCCCAGGCCTGCAAGTTCAGAACCATGCTGGCAGGTGGATTGATGTTCCGATGGTGGAAGGAGGCGTAGTGTGCAACATCGGTACGCAGTCTACAATTTGCTGCCTTGACTCGGTTCTGACCCTGTTTTGGCAGGCATGCAGCTGATGAAGCTTACCGGCGGGAAATTGGTGGCAACCACACACCGCGTCAACACGCTACGAATAGAGAAAGACCGGTACGCAATTTATTGCTCTTATCGTCAACAAGGCTTACATTCACTCCACTCCGGAAGTTATACCATCCCGTATGTGCTGTCGACCAAGCTGGAAAAGGCCGTGGTCCCTTTACCCCAATTTACTTGTGAAGACGCTGCGAAGTACCACGTAGCGCCCAACGCTAAGATTCTGAAACTCATGAGTATAGCTGACCCTTTGGAGCGTAGCGGGTATGCTCGTCTTAGCCTATTTCCTGCTGCTACTCGGAAGCTCTATCCCAAGGAGTACGAACGAGCTCATGAGCTAGGCTTGATGTAGAGCTCAGGATATACTTGGTCGCTGCATATAATAATAATCACCGATGTGGCGCTGCTCAGCACATTGTCACCGTACGAGCTTGTATTCTAAGCCTTTCCGGCAATTTCTTCGACCTGGTACGCACATAATTGACGCACTCGCGCCAGCTCATGTTAGTAGCGCGTCCTTCGAGAGGATCAAAGGTCCCGGCAGCTCTGCCCCTCCAACATCCGCGGAGCAACCAAGTACCATGGGAAAACTCCACGAATGTCGTTGCAGAACCTCTGGACTGCATTCAACAACGCCACTCGTATGCCCAAGGTCCGCCGACCCAAAAATCGCTGGAGCTGGATAGTTGACTTCGCGTTACTCATCTTTTTCTACCAGACTTTTAGGTCGCGGAACATCACTGCGTCGCGTCAGATCCCATATAGCGGTAGTGGGTTAGACCTGTCTTTATCCGTCTCGTTAATTCCGACCCGTTACCGGGCTTATAACAGGAACGACTCTCGTATTCGACACCTTGCTAATATTTTCCACGCAGGACTCATCAGTATCTTCCTTGTGCCCTCCAAGGTCTGCAGAGTACCGGTTCTGGCTCTCAGGGTCTTCGCGCGTGTTCTCCATGGCGAACGTCTCATTTTCACGATACGTACCCGTGCCAGCGGCTTCGACGCGGGCGAAGAGTGCTCCAGAGTCTTCGAAAATTTAGTCGAGATCCATACTGCTTCCATCGCCGCACTCCACCGGCCAAGGCCAGCCGTATAGCAGGCCCAGAGCGAGAGAGGACGCCTGGTCAGGCACAATCTGTTCAAGCTCGCAGAGCACCTGAAGCATAACGCCGCCGCAGGAGGAAGCTCTGGGCGCGAGGACCAAGGCGTCAAACAACAGATGTGTTAAGTTTCCGTTTCTCATCGGGGGAACGTTTCTGATACACGGGAAGCAGACGCCACTTCGTAAACCAGAGATCTAACATCCGCGAGAGCCCGAGTTCCTCTTTCTCAAGGAGGCGCGTTTATTTCTCTTGAGCTGAATATGGGTCTGATGGTGACCTCTGATGATTCGGCAGCTTCGCATGACTGGCTAGGTTCCCAGAGCTTGTCCGATTACCGCTAAGCGCGAGACCTGTTTCTCGCGCTCGTCAAGCCCATCTGCTGCTGTTTGACATCCTACAAGCTATACACACTGATGATTAGTCCCATAGAAAACCTAGTTTGATTGTTGGCCTTAATATCCGAGTTCCCTGTGTGCACGGCGATTTGAAACGCACGAGTGGGCCCACAATATTGTGGTCTAGCCCGCTACAGAATGCGAGGGTAGTGCGCTGCTTGAGCTAGTGCACCCTAGTCTGCGGACGCCGGAAGCAGAGTTTAGAAGGTACATCCGCTACTTCTCCTTTTCGCCAAAGCGCTTCGTCGCTTATCGGCTTATGCTCGCAACAGCTCCGTGGTTGGCTGCAGGAACATCGGAACGCGTGCTGTAAAATGACCGGGATATTCCGGTGTGCTGGCGCTCCCTGCCTTGACACTTCACCCAATACTGACTGGCTGTCCATTTACTATGCAAAGATGCGTTGTTCCACTATACATCGATCAGCGTTGGCAAGGCCACTGCCACCATATCTGACTGCTGTGCCGTGTAGTATCATGCGGGCATGGGGCCAAATTGATGATATGCCCTGCCAAAATAGATGCGGTATAGCTCAAGGACATCAGCCAACCAGTGTTCTGGCGGATATGGCCCATTCTGCAGCCGGAAAGCGGTAATTTTCAAAGTTCTATATGAAGATGTCTATCCCGTAAGTAGTATGGTATTCTCGTCACTGACCACATGCTTGAAAGACAGGTTGAAGTCGGAACTGTCGAACAGCTGTTCGCGCTAGAAAACTGGCACACGGCATGCAGCATGTCGGAAGCAGCATGCAATAAGCCTGTGAGATACAATACAAATAGGGTATGCGTTCAGGGACAGATTCGACAGCCAAGTGATAGCTACCAGCTTCGACCAGGCACCACAGTCACTTCGTGGCGTGGTCAGTCACTTGTGACTTCTGGCTTTCCGGGCCCCGGCCTCATGACCGTAGTCCATCGCAGGCTAGCACAAGCTCAACATGAGCATGTGAAAATGTTCCTTAAGCAAGCAGACGTGCCTCCTACACTCGCCCACGCACTGCCATGGTACCGCCTACGGGGTTTCTATTCCTGCTTTGGCCTGTGGCAGTGCTGACCAAAACTTGCTGATGATCCCCATAGCAGATTTCCGCTGAGCTATTCGGTTAACTGATGCACCTACATAGAGCTTGTTTATAGATTGAACGACCTTCGGTTACCTCTCCAGTGGTAGGTCTGTGAGAGTTGGCCTCAGATCTGCTATATCCCCAGTACCGACGACATGTCAACACCTACCGCGAGCCCTCCGGTGCCGAATACTGCGACAATCATCCTTCCTCCAGGCTTGACTCTCGACCAGTACCTTACTCTCCAGGGCGATGCAGGTAATTACTAATAATATCAATATCCCAGGTGCTATCTGACGCATGGTTTCTTTGAAGTCAAAATCGCAATCACAGTCGCGGTAGCCTTTGCTATCATTATTTGGGACTAGTGGGTTTGTTCCTCACATATCGCCGAATTTTATTTACCAGAAATGCAGCTTTGTTTTGCTCCCAGACGAGCTCATGTTGTACACTGAGAAAGATTCGAAATTACTGCGAGCACCTAATACCGTCTTGTACGTGCACCTACCGCTGGTGGTATCTGTTCATAGTTGCTAATGAGCTCACTAGCTTCATTGTGCTACGTTACTCTGCAATACTCGCTACCCTTCCGTCGCTTTTCTTCACGTCAGTGCAGAATCAGCACTGTCAGGCAGCGGTAATCCTCAGCCAGGTTGGCGCATGCCTCGTAGTGTTCTCGTCTGGCGCGATTTTCTGCTTCCGAGTCCACGCCATGTGGCACGGCAATAGAGCCGTCTACACACTCATTACGATCGTATTTCTCACGATGATATCCTGCTGGGTGTGTACAATGTCTTTCTAGTGACACCTCTGCTTACCCCTAGTAGATTGCAGTAGCCACACAATACGACGCCACGACCGGGCCTGCCACGCCGTTCGGCTCGAACTGCCAGATGCACCCCATCGTGTCCTGGGCACCGATGAGTTTCGGCTCCTCGGTCCTCTTCGACTCGACCATCCTCCTGCTCACCATCGCGAAGCTTCCACGCACCCGGACGACCAGGTCGCATGTCGGCCGCCAGATCTTCCGCGACACACTGATGTACTTCGCGCTCACGACCGTCACGAACGTCGTCGTGCTGAGCATCCAAGCGCTCGGCGAGGCGCACGCGATGCTCAAGCCGACCGCCGTGCCGTTCTCGACGGTCGTGACCGCCACAATGGGCTCGCGCGTCTACCTCAACCTCCGGCTCCTCGAGAAGCGGCGCCAGGTCGAGGCGGAGCGCATCCCCCTCGCGATGCCGATCGCAATGCCGCGCCCTGGTGCCGGTCACACCAAGAATAGAATGAGCGGCACGACGCACGTAGAGAGTCTCCTGAGCACAGCGCAGGCTCTGGGTTCCATGGGCTCCAAGAAGGACGACCTCGCTGCCGAGACAGCCCAGTCAGCGTCCTCTCTGGACATCGAACGGCCTTTGTAGGCCAGGATAGTTTTACCCGATTTCCAGGATATGCGACCGAGCTGTCACAGCGGCGGGCAGATATGATCGAGATTTGGCTCTATCTTTATTTCGTGGATGCTGCTTCTGTGGTCCTCCGATATTTAACTTGGAAAGTAGTCATGACTGTTTAACGACTGAGCAATGAACCTGTCATGTTTTTGAATAGTAATAAATTTCCGTCGTCGCTCTCACATCTTCTGTTTACATTGACTACGCTGTATCGCCAGCAATCGAGCGAAATGTCTGGCTTAGCAAGCGGACGGGACATTCCCCGAAGGAAGTGAGGCTTCCGTGAATTTTGGCTGTACTTGAAGCACTTCTGGGGTAATGATACCACTCTTGGACATACTCCTCTGTCGTCGCTCGGCATTCGGACGCATCTTGTGAGTGTAGCAGTGTAGGGTGGGGCCCTCCCAGTGAGAAGTGGACCATACTGACATGAGGTAATGAGTACATGCGCATGCAAGCGGAGAGGGAGAGTAGCCATGGATCCCATGCATATCTCAAGAATGAGGCTGGTTCCGCCGCAGGGAAGGGAGGCTCTGTCGCTGAGCGCTCATTATGTGTGCCATTAGCTCAATGCTGCCGCGTCGGCGTCGCTGGAATTCACAGACGGCTACAGAGTAAGACAAATATATTCAGGCAGTACTTGGCAGATGGCAAACGGCGTACTAGGCCGAGGTAGGCAGCGCACAAGCGGCAGCGGCAGTGCGGTAACGCAGTAGCGGTGCCAGCACATCAAGGTGCGGAAGTCAGAGACCGCTTGGGTTGACAGACGGTCGGCATATTTGGAGAAGCGTAGCATGGGGATCAGGCGTCGTGGGCGCGCGCAGGGTCGTCGCGGAGATAGCTAGCGCCCTGATGCGAGTTGGACTCAACAAACCTTCGTCCGTCATTCACGTACAGTATTGTGAGAAAGACGTGCACACAGAAGCCTTCCATGATCCTGGTCTCTTTCTCAGGCCGGCCTGCGAACAGTCGTGGGGACCATAAACCTGGTCTCAACCCTTAGAAAACCGAGAGCCCCCTGGCACCACCCGCTCGGGACCGTTGCAGTGTGCGACCAGCTATAGCATCCGTCCTCATCAGGTGTTGGAACGATGAGCTCTTCGAATCTCGTAAGTGCTTGATGTTGGAAGGTTATGGGATTGCGGAACGCTCGAGGATCGTGTAGATGGCCGCCGTAATCAATCACGACTGTCAACGCACTCGGAACAGAAGTCACCCAGCGGTCCTCTCTGGGAGCAGGAGACGATCCCTTTCAATGGCCACAGTTACTCACGGTGCCGTATCATCGTTTTAATGGACCACAGGCTGCCAACATCTTCGCCGTCGTGTCTTGGGCAACATCACGGAACATTTCGCTTGCGCTGCACTGAACACACGGTTCCCTGTCTGGTACGCCGTTGCGCCTCATGCAGAACATCAGTGCAGCTGACGCCCAGATCTCGAGGACAGGTAAGAGGACGCTACCCCTTGAATGAAGCCTCTCACTCTGTACGTCCACCATGGCGACCGTCCCCACCGACCCCTACGAGCTCTTACATTGGAACATGGAACTCGGTATGCTCAAACAACTGCTCAGGCTAATGTCTGCTGACAGTTCCATGTTCACATGCAGCCCACGCGACATATGAGAAAGGATACGAGACTATCCTTCCTCTACTCGACAGCCCGCCCGAGCGCGACCTGAAGAACTTCTTGGGCTATTGTGAGGCGTGGGGAGAGTCGATCGTCCATCACCATGATACAGAGGTACAAGAACGACTTGTAATACCTAGCGCATGATTGATATTCTGATGCGAAATTATCGCACACAGGAAGCATCCGTCTTTCTCATCTTAAACAAGAAGATGGACTTTTCCCATGAGCAAGAGCAGCACAAAGAGGTCCATAGCTTCTTGGATAACTTCCTTGCAAAGATTAGGAGCGCACAGAAGGACAACTCCAATTTCAACGCTGCGGAGCTCAAACAGCTCATGCAGTCATCAAAAGAAGCGATGGTAGGTCTCTCAGCTTCCCCGCAATCTCGTCCTTCTCCACAAACATCCGATTCACCCTTCCTGTAGTTCACGCATTTTAGCGAAGAGCTCGTGCACATAGAGGCCTCCAAGCTCAGGGAGGCAGGCTTCACGGAGGCCGAATGTCGCCAGTTGATCACCGACATGGAGAAGCATGCGAAGAATAACGGCGACCCGTTCCTGGTGGTGCCCTACATGCGCAGGTAAGTCCGCCCGGCGCTCGATGGCTCACAGACTGACACCAACCTCTGCTAGCCATACGCCGCCTGAGTACAAGGACATCTGGCCGCCAATGCCATGGATCCTCCGCAAGGTCGCTGTGCCGTACTTACTGGCGAAGAAACACTCGGGGTAAGTCCGTCGACTCGGCGGTATATCATTCCGCGTCGCTCATGGTAGAATCATGCCCAGATATTGGAAGTATGCTCCGTATGCCATGTCTTAGCTCCCAGCAGTGTCTACATCATGCTGTCGTCATGTTGTAGTGAGCGTACCATTTGCGGATTTCCCCAGGACGATGTCGATGACCATACCCGTGCAGAATGACATAAAAACGGCATATAAGTCTGCTACAAAACCTATGATTACAGTGCTATGACTGGTCTGGATGCAACGCCTTTAGCCGCAGTGAGCATTACGCTTCAAACATGACCGCATACTGCCGTCGCATACCCTGTCGTGCGGGATAGGTGAGATAGAAGGGCACTGAACATCCCAGATGGGTCAGAGGAGCGGCGTGCGAGCACCTATGTCGATTGACCGCCTCTTACGCATGACAGCAGCTCACACTTACATTTACACTTTTCTTCCCATCCTTCAATATTCGCACTGGGACCGTGCCGAAAGGTATTTTCACAGCTGGAACCTTGCGGCCCCCGGCTGGTCACCATGGAGGTGGCCTGTTCATCCGATAGAAGAGAGAGTGGCGTTATCATACGCCACCCATTCCATGCGACGCTGCGTTCCTACAGAGTCCCCGGCCCATATCCCACACGTCTCCCGATCCGCATCCGCGTCTAAGCCAATGCCCACTCCGTTTCCAGCTACTTGTACACTGACATCCTGCACTCCAGGGACGCTGTAGAGCTTATTCGGACGTATCTTGACGCGTCCGAACACGCTACGCACCGTCTAGTACTAGCGATCGCAAGTAGCGCGTTCTGCATCACTGCGGCAGCAATACGTTGTCGAAACGTAAATGTACGCCGTCCTGTATATTGAACTGTGGCTCGAGAATATACGTGCGCGGGGTACGAAGTCAGTGCTTCTGACCTGAAGATAACTATTTTGGTGTCGGAGAGCGCGCTCGCGGAGCGCGCTATATCAATATCACGTGATAATCACGTGATATGAATATTTTCATCTCTCTCAAGTCTCAACCATGATGCGCCTTAGACTCTTGATCTCACGACACGCTGCAAGGATGCGAAGGAATCAGGAATGCGAACCGAGATGCCAGTGGCTTTGTCTGGACGTGCTCCTCTGAACTTGGTAGCACAAGCCGCAGGGGTCGAACGCTCTATACGGCTCTGCCGCGAACGGAAAGCCTCGCAGCATGCTCGTTCTCCATACTCTGCAACAGGTCACCGAACGCTTCCGTCTAGCAGCAGCATCTCAGCATATTTTATCATTCGCGGTCTTCAAGGTCCCATTAGGTCGCGACGCCATTTGACCAGATCGTGCTCCTGAGATGCTGCACCCTAAGTCCATTAATGCGCCGGATCCGTGGGACGTAGCATGCAACACAGATTTTCTGTTCCGCCAGATGCATAAGATAATGTTTACGGATACATACAGGTCGCGTTAAGTTACTGCTAAGAAACAGAATATGAGAGATGCAAGAATGTCCGGAAAGCGGTGAGTTTGATGATTTGGAAAGATGCCGTACATGCAATGCAAGCTGTTGATGAGTAAAAGTAGCAAGTCGTGAAGGTCATAAAAGATCAGTGTCGAGGTCGTGAAAAGTCATAACAGATATATGGTGTGTTTATGCGCCGCCTTTGCGCGGCGAGCTGGCGGGCGAGCCCGCGACGACGGAAGAGGGGCGGTCGAGACGGCTTCGCAGACGTTCAACTTCGCGCTCGAGGCTGCAAGACGGTCAGCGCAGGAGTAAAAGGCGCATGTCCACGACTTACTTAAGTGCCTTCTGCTTGAAGTCCGCCGCCTCGCGCTCGACGCGGCGCTTCGCAAGTTGGAGATCGTTTTCAGACGTTTGCAGCTCGTCCATCGCCTGGCGCATGTTCAGCACTTTGATTTCGTATTGCTTGACTTCCCCCTCGAGCCGCTCGCGCTGACGGTCCGTCTCAGCGAGCTGGAACCTGGTATCCCGTGCGGTGTGGTCCGCTGAGCGGTTGAGGCGCGAGCCGTCCTTGGACGACTGGTTGAGCTGCTTCGTGAGTTCCTCGATGCGGCTCTCAAGGCGCCGCGAGGTCGTTGCAGGCCTAGGCGAGTTGAGCGACTTGGTCTCAAGGTCAACGACTCGGACATTGAGCTCCTTGACTTGCTTCTCCAGGTTGGCCTGCCCCAGAGCAGTCAGCTCCAAATCCACAATAACGCTCCGCATGGCACTTACATTCAGCTTATCGAGCTCAGAGTTCTCGACTCTAACCTTGCCGAGCTCGAGCTGACTTTCGGCAGCGTATGTCTCTGCCTTTTTCATCCTTTCGAGCGTCATCGCGACACGGTCCGCCTGCTCCTCAAGCGCGCGCTCGAGGTCCTGTTTCTTCAGACGCAACTTCTGCAGCTCAGTTTCCGAGCTCAGCTTGCTTGCATCGACGTGGTCGAGCTTGATGGCTTCGAGCTCCGCTTGCAGCCCGCGCCGCGCCTTCTGGAGGAGAGCACGGTCCGCCTCCGCGTCATTGAGCACGCTGCGCAGTTCGCGCACCTGCGAATGCAAGGACACGATCTGGGACTGCTGTTCGGTCTGTGCGGCAGAAGCGGCCTCATAGGCATTTGAAAGATCTTGGATCTTGGTTTCCAGGCGCTCCTTCTCTTTTTTCCATGCTCCGCCATTGTAGACTTCGTCATCGAAGCGCAACTGGAGCTCGTCGTAGTCTGCTCGAATCTTGCGGCTCTCTTCGCGAAGTCTGCTCATTGTGTCCCGTTGGGATTGCAGTTCTAACCAGACTATTAGCATACTCTCCAATGAAGCGTACAGGTCTCGCCTACCTTCGCTCAGTTGAGCAAGCTCGGCTACAAAGACGCAATCACGTCAGTCTAGATGCAAAGAAGACAGACGGAGACGTACTCTGATACTTCTTCCTCGTTTGATCAGCAGCAAAATCGCGCTCAGCAAGATCCTGCTGGTTTTGCTTCCTCGCATCCTCCATCTCCTCTTTGAGACGTTGTCTGAGCATCTCAAGATCAGAACTCTCGCGGCCCTCTTCTTCGAGCTTGGCCTGCAGATCGTGGATGCGTGTCTCGGCGGTCTTCAGGCGCTCCTCGATTGCCTGACGATCTGCGACGGCCTCTGCCTGCGCTTTCTCCGCATCCGCAAGTGCTCGGCGAGCTGTAATAAGGTGATCAGCTAGATGAACCACGCTACTGGAATCCAACGACCCACCGAAAGCTTCCGCGCGGACAGCCTTGGCCTTGGCGATCTCGGCTTCCTCAAGGCGCCGCAAATATGAGTCAGTCTTGGCCTTGTAGGTCTCGACGGCCTCCTTGAGCTCGGAGTGGATGGTTGAAGACGTTGATGAGGTGATTTCAAGCTCCTGCAGACGGGCCTGGAGCTGTCGCCTGATGTTCGTCTCCTCATTCTTCGCCATCATCTCTACTTCCAGGCGGTCTTTGAGATCTGCAAGCTCAGCCTGAGCCTGCTTCTTCGCTTGCGTAAGTTCTTGCACCTGCCGGCGCTGGTCTTCGAGTTCAACGTTGGCCGCACGCTGTTGGGCGAACTGAAAAGTGATGAGCTGCGCGTATGTGCGTAGTTACAATGAGTGCAAAACCTACCAGGGCTTTGCGAGACTCTTCCAAGCGAGCATAGCTCTCGCGTTCTCCGACAAGAGTATTCTGGAACTTCTTCCATACCGCCTGCACGTCCTGGAGCTGCGCTGCTTCTGCTGCACGGCGTGCCTCCGCCTCATCCTCCAATAGTTCCTGGAGCCGACTCTTCTCGCGAGCGAGCCTGGCACGGTACTGCTCGAGCGATTGCTTCGAGCCGTCGCTGTTCTCGAGTTCGGCGGTCATGTCACCTAGGAGAGCTTCAAGGTGTTGCCTGACGCGAGTTGAAGCTACCATCTGGAGCTCGAGTAGCTGTACCTCCTGCTTGAGCGCATTGACCTGCGCTTGCTTGTCTTGGGTACGGGGCGAGTCAGACTGGGGCTCCTTGAAGCGGACGACGCCGTTCTTCTTAGGCGCGACGTTTGCCATGACTTGCGTAGAGCCAGTGTTGGAAGGGCGTACGATCTGCGATCTGGAGAGCATTTCGCGTTCGAGTTCCTCGTCTGCAAGCTGCAGCTCACGCAAGAGTCTGGACTTGAAAGCCTCGTCCTTGGGCCCACTCATGATGAGGCGGCGGATTTCCTGGTGCTGGCGGTCGACGTGCTCCTTAATCCTCACAGCGACAGTGCTCGACATCTCAGCGTCCTCTAGTTGTTGCTCGAGCTGACTGATCCGAGACTCGTACTGACGTTGCAGCTTGGCGAGGGAGTTGGGGGTTTCCGATCCGTCGGCCAGGCGAGCGAGCTCGGCCTCGAGGTTGTCCTTCGCCTTCTGGGACGTGGTAAGTTGATGAGAGACGTCCTCGATCTGTGTATGAGCAATCTGCAGCTCATTCTGGAGGCGTCGCGCTTGCAGCTCGGTGGCTTCACGAGAACGCTTCTCAGCTTCAGCTTCGGCCAATGCACGAGCCACCTTCTCTTCCTGTGTCCGCATAACCTTCGCCCGAGTTCGGAATTCTGCCTGTTCCCTCTCACGTTCACGAACAAGGTCCTCGGCTTCGGTAGTGAGACGTGTCTTCGACTTCTCGAGAGAGCGAATATAGGCAGCCTGCTTCTGCAGCTCAAGCTGTGCGTCCGCGAGTTGACGATCAGTAACGCGCTTGGCCTCCTCAAGTACATGGACATGCTCGACGATGGTTTTGTCTTGCTTCGCTTCGAGCTGTTTGATCTCCCACTCCCGCGCCTTGAGGTCGGTAAGAGCCTTGTTAAGGTCACGATCCAGCTTGATGTTGAGGTCCTTCACGCGAACAATCTCGGTTTTTCGAGTTGTCAGCGAGTGCTCGAGCTGCTTCTTCTTGGCAATCTCGGACTCGAGCTGTTTCCGGTTGGCCTCTAGATTGCGATCGTTAGCGGCCTTGTCGCGCTCGAGCTGAAGGACCACATCCTCAAAGTCTTGGTACTTGGACTGAGCGGTGGCGAGCTTGCGCTCCAGAGCCTTTAAGTGATGTCAGCACGAAATACTGGGGATGGCGGAGGTGATATCATACATCTCGTTCTCTGAGAGCGTCTGCAAGCTGACTCTCTAGATCTATCTGCCTCGAACGAACGGACTGCAGGTCGGACTCAACTGTCCTCTTTGTCTTGACTGCTTCCGAAAGAGCAGCCTCCGCATCCTTGAGCTTGACCTGGCTAGTGGCCTCACGATCCGAGAGAGATTTGTGGCTCTGCTCTAGCATCTGGTGTTCGCGAACGAGGGTGTCAAGCTCGACCTTCAGCTTGTTCTGGCCTTCCAGAGCCTGCTTACGCGCATCGCTTAGGCTCTGCGAGAGACTAGCAACCTGTGAACGCAAGTCGGCGAGCTCCACTTCCTTACTCTTGTCGGCTTCGCTCCTCCGCGTCTCCTCGGTGACCTTAGCCTGAAGGAGAGAGCGAAGCTCGTCAAACTCCTCCTGCAGCCGCGCGTGAGCTTCCGAGCCACGTTTGCCGTCGTCTTGCTGAGCCTGCAGCTCTCGAGAGAGGGTGTCGACTTGGCCCTGGAGCTCAGTAATCTCCTTGAGCAAACTGCCACGCTCCTGCTTTGACTTCTCAAGATCGGATGTCAGATGAGCGACGTCGTCTTCCTTCTGCTTGATCATGTTCGTGTACTCTGTCGCGGTGCGTGCCATCTCAGAGAGCTGTTCCTTGGACAAGCGTGCCTCACGCTCCAGGCTCTCAGCCTTCTCGCGTAACGAGTCCCTACAGCCCACAGATGTTAATGGTATGCTATGCGTAAGCAGCGAGACCATACCTGTTCAGGGCCTCATTTCTCAGCTTGCCGTCCAATTCCGACATTGCAGAGTCCATACGCTCCTTGACGCGAGCGACGTCTTCTTCCCGCTGAGCGACGAGATTCTGGAGCTCCTCCGTCGCCTTTTGCAGCTCCTCTTTCTCTGCGGTGAGGATGTCTATGTCTTCCTCCGCTTCGTTGAGGTTCTCGGTCAGCTCCGTCTCCTTCTTAACCCATTCCTGCTGCTCGGCCTCAAGACGCACGAGATGCTCCGCAGCCTGGTCGAACGCCTGCTGGAGGGTTCGGTGCTTCTCCTCGCTTTCCTTCTGCAGCTTCAGCGCGCGATCAAGCTGTGAATCGAGGGTATCGAGGTCCGCCTGGAGTGCGGCAACTTCGTCTTCGAGCTCAACCTCGTGTTTCTTGCTGCGTTCGAGTAGTGCGTCCTTGTCGAGAGCGAGCGCGCGTTCCGCTTCAAGGTCTTCCTCGACTCTGCGCTTGTCCGCCTCCAGGCGCATGCGCAAGTTCTCTAGCGCCTCCCGCTCCTGCTTGTCACGTTCTGCGCGCTCCTTGATCAGCGTAAGCTCCACTTCTTTCCGCCGCAGCTCCTCATCGTTCCGCGTGCCCGCAAGCAGCGGCCGCACTTTTGTGTACAGCTGCCACCATGGCCAGTCACGCAGTTCGCCGTAAACGCGTGCATTCCGCTGGATTGTCCGAATCGCCACCGCGCGGTTTAGCACCTTTTTGATCTGCCGACGCGCTGTCCACTTCCGTGCGACGGCCTGTAACCTCGAGAAGATATCGAACAGGAGGGTATCGCGCCGCTCTTCGAGCTCAGCGAGAACACCGGCCTTGAAGAAGACTTTCGATGTACCAATCCTGTACAACGGCTTGTCAAGCTCGAGAGCGTCGACCATGCGCAAGCAAGCTTTGCGGCCGTCCATGTAGCCTCGCGGAATGATACCCGGTGTGAGTACCTCGTACCGCTGACGGAACTCAACGAACGGAAGACGATTGGGATATCCGAGCCGGGCGATACGAATACCTTCGAGCACACCATTGCATCGTAGTTGGTCGAGAACTAGTGGCACGTCGATCCTGCCTGGTTTCTTCATCGTGTTCGGGACGATACACCTGACGAAGTGGGGTCGCGTCGCCTGGAGTTGCGACATGAGGCTCGCGAGCTGCTCCTTGTGGCGCTGTCCGACGGTCCTGAACGCGCCCTTCTTGGTGACGCGCTTCTTGCTCTGCGTTCCAAAAGCGGTCGCATGGCTCGAGACGATGCCGGGTGCATCGCCGTAGTCGGAGAACAAGGAAGCGACATACTTCTCCGCGGCGCCCGCTAGCACGCGGGTGAGGTTGTCGTTAAGCGGGTCCTTGTTCTTCTCCAACCAGCCGTCCGTGCGGTACTCGACGCGTCCGGCATAGTGGTGCACGAGGAAGCCTTGCTCGAAACGCGAAGGCTCGTACTTGAGCTTGCCAGGGTGCTCCTCTTCGCCGGGCTGAGTCTCCGACGCCCAGATCGAGTGCAGCTTGTTCGTGAACGTCAAGTCCGTAGCCTTTGGCATGATACATTCCTCGTCAAGCAGGCTAAGAATGCCTATCGCGTTGCCGCTAGTCTCGATGAGGTCGATTGTTGGCTGCAAGTCCAGGCCGAAGTTGACATAGTCCCACTCGATGCCCTCTCGTGCGTACTCCTCTTGCTCGAGCACAAACATATGGTAATTGAAAAACTGCTGCAGCTTCTCGTTTGTATAGTTGATGAGCAACTGTTCGTAGCCGTTGATCTCAAAGATCTCGAAACCGGCAATATCGAGCACACCGATGAATGTCGACTTCGACGAGGGCCTATCGAGGGCACGGTTGATCCTATCGACCAACATACCGAAGGACTTCTCGTATAGCGTCTTGCAGAGTGCCGCTAGCTCTTCGACAGCCTGCTGGCGCGTTCGTGCCTGGGTGACCCACTCTCTTCCGGCAAGTACCCGCGGGCGGAGCACGGCCCTGGTGAAATCTGATACAGGGATACCGAGAAGATGACAAGCGCGCTCAGCTTGCGAGGGGTCGGGCATGAGTGCATCGTCTGAGCGTGTGGAAGTGATTGTTATGTTGCCGATATGAAGAATCGCCGCGACGATACGAAAGAGGTCGAGTTGTTCCGTAGGCGTAAAACCGACAACGTCCAGGGCGTTCCTGAGCAAACTCCACTCCTCGCGGTCATCGATACCATCGACTTCACGTCTACTCTTGTTTAAATATTCGTAATCCTCCACACCGCCGCCCAGCAGCAGCGTCTCTGAGACATAGCTAAGCGCCTAACCTCGATGAGCCGTAATACCCGACTCACCTTTCAGACTGCCGTCACCCTCCATGAGCTGGTAGAACACGTGAAAACTTCGTTCAGCGTCACTGCGTACGACGACTCTGCTCTTCTCGAGCAAATACCAGTCGACATTAGCACCAGCGATGCTGCCGTCGGGCGCGAAGCTAATCCGGATAAACTTTCCGAATCGACTCGAGTTGTTGTTCCTCTGTGTCTGCGCATTCCCAAACGCTTCGAGGATAGGGTTCGCCTGAAGAATCTGACGTTCGAGCAGTCCAAGTCGACCCTTCGAATTCAGCTGTATGCTACCCGTCGAAGATGCGATGGAAGCAGTCTTGGCATGGCCGGGACCTGTGTTCTTTCGGAAGGAGGAGTTGCGCGGCAGGCCAGTGGTAGGCATGCTGGAAGTGAACGAATTGGAATGAGCGAGGGAAGGTGACTGAGATTGTGATGGTGTGCCGGGGGCATGTGTGTCGGTAGCAATGGCAGCGAGGTACTGGATGACCTTCTTCGTACTTTCTGTCTTTCCTGCACCAGATTCACCGCTAAAGAATGTTAGGTCTGAGCTATACTGTTACGGCGCGTCACATACGTGATGAGGATACTTTGGTTCTCCCGCTCCTCGCCCATACTGACCCACGCGCGTTCAGCAATGGCGAAGATATGTGGCGGGCTCTCATCACGGCGTTTACCTCGGTATTGCTGAATTATCGCGTCGGAGTACAGAGGAAGGTTTTGGTATGGGTTTATGGCTACCAAGAAGAGTCCTGAGTAGGTCTGAAAGCGCGAGGTCAAAGTTCGGTTCAGGGCAAGTAAATACTTGGCAGAAACATACGTAGATAGCCCCAGACCCATAGCGCAGCCTAAGGTTGTGTACCACACTCGCTTCGTTAAGGAACGTCAAGTCTGCGATGTCGTCCACCCTGTCGAACTTTGGAGGATTCATCTTCGACAGCGCGTACAGTGGTAGCCTCCGGATCTTGTAGTTATAGTGAGAACGCCTAAGACAGCCCACATAACCGGAGAATGCATACCTCTCCTCCTGCAGCCATTATCACGTCTCCCACATCGTCTTCCTCCTTGACCACCCAGCCGGCGAGGTACCCATCCTTGTCATCCGGTACCCAGACCCATTTCTTCTCGTTAAACTCGGCCTGCAGAGCCGCTGCGCGCGCTGCCTCTGCACTTTGCGAGGGCCTTGGTGCAGGCATCGTTGAGTTTTACAGGTATCGGTACAGAGGCACAGCTGCGTATGCACGTGTTATGTCGGTTGAAAGATGGTGCAAGTCCTAGACGTGCCGGGTATAATTCGTGTAATCCCGTAACTATACAGAGGGGGCTTCCCAGGATATGGATGAGGAGTACTGCCTCGTCTAGAGGAGAAAATCGAGAAAACTGAATGGATATTGCCCCCGGCGGGAGATGGGCGAGCTGCGACCTGTATGGCGCGTGACATCTGATTCAATCCTGGTCACAGTATAATGATCCGCGTTATGCGTGACGCGCCTCGCGCCTTCTGCCTCTCTGCTCCGGTTTCTTTGGTTAAAGAGACGAGAGCTCGAATCAAGCTGCCTGTGCTTGACTAGTTTTGACAGGTACATGCCCCGAATGCTCGTCGTCGTGCACTGTGAAGAGTCCGATGACGAGATATGATGACCTTGACCGGGCTCAAGATTCGCGCTGAGTCTGTTGACGCGACAGCATCTTCCTGGCGAGTTGTGCACTGCATGGGGACCGTCCCCGAGTATGTCAAGTTTCACAAGAGGGCGATGCGTAAGCAGCTTCAGTGATTACTTGCTGGTCCTTGTTCTTACCCGACTTCGCGTTGCTACACTCCATTCAGATGTAGGCGTGCGCAATGTCATTGTCTCACCACGGTGCTGGGCGGAACAGCGTAGCACCCCGTGATTGTCGCAGATATATAGCTATCGATGCAGTCGGTGAGTTGTCGAATAATCTGGAGACAGCCATGTCGCAGACGAAGCTTATCTCGTCAGCAGACGATACTCGCATTTATGCAAACGCTATAGGAAACGCGTCGAACCCCGTGCTAGTCTTCATACATGGATTTTCTGCGGACAGCACTGTTTTCAATGACATCTTTCATAGCGCGAAGAACTCCACTAGTTTCTATCTGGTGAGCACTTCCATGCTCAGCACAGCGCGCGAAATTAATGCCCGGCGGAATAGGTGCGCTATGACTTGCGCGGCGCTGGCAGGAGTGGCAAGCTGACCACTGTGGAAGGCTACGCGTCCAAGAAGTTTGCAGAAGACTTCGCTGCTGTGATGAGCGCTTTTCAGCTGCAAAAGCCTATCACTGGGTGGTAAGCGCACTTTTTTCCGGCGTAAAATTAGCCAAAAACTGATCCAACAAGGCCCCAACTTTATCCGGTTTTCACCTGAAAAAACCGAAGGCAAAACTCATTTTTCCGCCAGTTTTACTGTGTTTTAGACCCTTTTGGCTGGTTTTGCACCGGTTTCTCCTCAATTTGCATCGGCGTAGAATCGAGGAATAACGGGGCCTTGTTTAGCCGCTTTTGTCTGAGTTTTCTTGAGAAAAAAACTGCGCTTACCACCCTGTGTATTATCGTGGGATGGTCAGTATTCTATCCATGCTTTGTAAGTTGCGCTGACTCAAGGTCGACCCACAGGAGCATGGGAGCAATAGTCGTCAATGACGTCCTCTCCCACCTCCCTGTCGGCACGCTCACAGGCGCTGTCTGCATTGCGGCCTCACCATGCACCACGCCCAAGATCATCGCGTCCTTCAACCCCATTGTCAGACCAACCCGCCTCGGTCTCTTCTCCACAGACGTAGCCATCGCCGAGCGCGCCAATCTCGCCCTTGTCCGCATCCTTTTCCTCCGGGACTCGTCCCCTTCAGAGAGCTTTAAGGGTAACACGATGCGCGCGCTTGAACAAGGCAGCGACTTCCGCGAAGACAACCCGGTCGTGACGTGGGAAACGCGTAGTCTCGTGCTCGGAGCGTCTTGCCTCACGCCAGTAGCACAAAAAAAGCTCCTCGCGACACGCGAGCACGACACCACGGCGGCGCTCGCAGCGATGCGGGAAGGCTTCCCGCTGTTGGCGATCGTGGGCTCAAAGGATGCCATGGTCAATGCGCAGAAGTTTAGTGACGCTCTGAAGGAAGTTTGTACGAACGTCCAGGTAGAGGTTGTTGCGGATGGCAGTCATGCAGCATTCCTCGATGCACCGGATCAGGTCATGAGCTGGATCTTCAAGTTCGCGGAGCGTTTCAACTGAAGCGCTCCATAAGGCGAGATGGAATTGTAGTTATAGATAACGAATACTGTATTGCGCAGGGAGAGTGAGATTGAAGTGGATGCGGATGCTCTGATGACGGTTTGTTTCTAGTGTGCTTCTGATCCGTAGCACAAATGGCCTGGTGCCACAAAGCCTTTCGGAGGCGCCTGTCCTGTCAAGTCCGCCGCATCGTTCTGTTAGGTTGCTTTTGTTCACATCGTCTCAGAATATACGTAACTCCAAAATAACGATTATTATCCGCAAGAGTAAGATATAGGTAGAACGGGTATAAATACTATAGACAACGTCGAAACATTCTTCGCTGGCAACCTGGGTACCACTAGATTGAGAAGGCCTGTAGTGTGCAACTGAATTTTTCGTTAGATTCAAAAACGAGAGGAAATATGCTTGAGCACCTACTCTTCAAGAATATAGTCCGCACTCCGAACAAAAAGCCCATCCTCTCCCATATATACCGAGTCGCTGTCGCCCACAACCAGCCCCGGCACCTCGATCCGCTTGAACGGCGCCGCAGTGCGCACCGGCTTCGCCCACACGCTCTTTGTCCGAGCACAGGAAACGTGAGAACGCACACGTCCGCGTCCTCGCCGACAGTGAGCAGGTCGTGCATG